GTGTTACAACACGTGCGCACAGATCTCCATCCACCTCATATTCTGTAGAGCTATTAAATTGTGTGGTATACATTCCATTGTCACTGAATTATTTTACCTTTTGTAGACCTACATCCAGTTCACTCCTGTCCTAGTCTTCTCGAATTTTTTTCGCAACTGCATCAAAACAAAGAAGACGATATTCATCCACAATAGTCCAAGCTGGTGCTTCTGGTTCGGACCGAGTTCTCATTATCACAGATTTTTGAGATGCCTTTGCCTCTCTATCTTGCTCTTTCTTCCTACAGGCTGAAAATTTTGTATGTTGGGGTTATCTTTCACCCACGACACTACAGAAAAATAAATAATATTATCCCTACAGAAATCACATCGTCACGTTTTTTCAGCCTCCGCACTTGCTGAAGGAATACCCATGATGCCAAGATTCCAATTCAATGGGGTAGAACCTGGCATTGTTTCGATGTGTTTCCAGCTTTCAGGTACTACCGTCCAATCTGTTTCATCTTCATCGTCATCATCTAACATTAAATTTAATGCCATGCTTGTTGTTTTATTTTGTGCATCCTGTAGACGAAAAAGACTGGTGCTATCTATTGATTCACTAACGCTGTCTGGTAGTGAAAACCCTTGTGATTCAGCTACCGATAGGGTTTCGTAAAGACAACGTCTCTTCGTCTATCGATGACTACATTTCGTGATCTAGAGACGATTGTACTGCTTGATTATGGCCTACGGGCATCGAATCCGACAGGTCATCACTACCAAGCTTTGTTTCCGGAATAAGAAAACTTTCGCTATACACGTCACCCATAGTCAAACGGAAGGTCACCAAATATGTAGCAGTAGGTGTTATAATTATATACGTAAATGTTGTTTGGATATACAGGTGCTGGGTCGGGTGTAAAAATATGACTATACTTTGAGCATTATCTCCTCCAATCATATCCTTGTTCACATTATTACATTTTTCATTTCATTTTTCACTGCCGTCCTACTTCGCAAGTTGAAAAAAGAAGTTAATGAAATTTCATTTTATTTCCAAAAATTTCACTGCGTAAAAATGTCATTTTTTTGTGAAATTTCAGTGAAATTTCACTAAATTCGGCGGCAGGACTGACCCTTAGAATCCGCCCTAATTTGCTCTCTAGCTAAACTGGAATCCATTCAAAGTCGTGTTTTAAAAGTATTCCCATTTTTTCATTTATGCCGATTTTGTAACACTCATAACTCTGTTGATATTGATTTTTTTTCCATGGTTATCCGAAGTTAACGAGAGGAAGCCGTAGCCGTTGTAAAAATCGAGATTGGACAATTATTTCGAGGCCCATTATAGTTTGAATATCGGGCCCCGGGAGGCGCAGGTTCTTGCCCCTCTGCACCATACCACTAATATTTCTGATGACTCTAATATCAGACATATTCCAATCCTAATTCCAAAACTCAATATTTGATTATTCTGGGTTTGGGATTTGGATTGGCTTTTTGATAATCTGGTCCCTAAATGCTACAATTCTTCTACGCTGCCAACGCCCATTGTATGACAGCTCTTGCCTCTCGTCAAATAAGTGATTGCGAGACGTGGTGCTATGCTGCCTCCCACTTCTCTATTGTAGCGCAGTGAAGCCGCCAAGTGTAGCAAAACTAGTGGTATTTGACAATGTAATACGCAATGTTGTCAGAAGTTCCGAAGTCGAGTACAATTTTACAATAGTACTTCGTTGTTTAATATGCATAATATTGAAGAAGAACTGTAGACCATTTCTATGAACAGTGATCAAATTGGAATATTGCATTTCTTTTTCTCTCAAGAAGGAACGTAGTGTTATCGTGTAAACAATAGTTTAGCGCACAAATTTTATTTTGTATAAGATGAGAACACTGAAAGGATAAGAGAAATAACCGAGCGTGGTGATTCAGCATTGTTCAGTTATGCAGACATAAAAAGCACCCGCAGCACAGCAACGTCAAAGCTACAACCATAACAAGCTTGCGTTTGATCCGAAGACGTTACTCGGAAATCAGTGCAATTTGTTCGAGGTACTAAATTGTAATATTGGCTACTTATTTTAGGCAATCATAGAAGCCAACATTCACAATAAAAACATTAAATAAAAATGCCCAGGCGGTTCGGTCATTAGAACATTTGTGTATTATTCTACAAGTTGCAGGATAGAAGCCCAACCGCAACAAGCAAGAGTCAACGTCGTTCGGACCTAAGTTCTAGCCACTGGATTTGCAAAACCTCACCCCTTCCTAGCTAGATGGGAGCAAGAACGTACGAATTAATTGGGTTCGCCAGAAGAAGAAGAAAAAAAAGTCCAATCGAGTAAGTCATTGACGGCTCACGAAAACTCGTCACTAGGTCCGGGTCGCTAGAATCTACCTCACTTATCTCTATCACCATTTGACACCTCCAGACCCTGGCAGATTATTCTATAAAATAATGCAGCATTTTATCCCCGTTAGCGAGTCTCATGGCGGACAATACTACGAAAAAATGTAGTCCAAAAATACGAATGAGTCACATACTTGCATGCTGCTGTCTATTTCATACTCTGAGGTAACATCAGGGAAGGCAGGTAGTTAGCGGTATGCTTTTCGATATTCACCGGACGAAGCACACGTGAGATGTGCATTTATCTATTGAATTTAATAGAACGATGGTAAGACAAAATGGAACGGCAACAAGAACACGTATGCGCAAAAAACAGTCACAGCAGATACGAAATGAGAAGTCGTTCAATGAATTTGAAGGAAAACGTGAGAAAAACTATAATTTTTTAAATATATCCAGCGCTACAAAGATTCATTAGTCACATTAACCGATTTTAAACCAACAATTTCCGTTCTACTCCTACCACACTTCGCCTCTACGTGAGCAGTACTTGACATAATTTAAACGAAATTAGTGGCCAATATATTCTAAGCATTCGTGATGAAAAGAGTGTGCGATAATTTTATTGAGCGAGTGTTATACACATCAAGAGAACACGGACTCGAGATAGAGCTATTCTCACATTCCAATAGACAGCTGGAGTGGAGCATGTTCTACACTTACGTAGTCACGAATTCACTCCGCATCCGAATTTAACTTCCCACGCTACTCGCGAGATTCCTACTTGACTAATACATGTTCATTAATGAATGAAATTTTATACATGCACCATAACGACTGCCCCTGTAGGTAAGTGGTAAACTTTAAATGTTTGATCGCACCTGTCAAGTCCCGAAGCACCACATTGCAAGGAAAGATCAGAACGATCCAATCATATCTTCATTTGGTACCAACTTAGTTTGTATGACTGTTCTTTTGTGGTGTAGCTATTTGTAGAGATGCACTGCGATTTTTTCTTGTATTCCTTCGTTTAGTGAAGTTTTCTGAGACATCTTATCCTTCAGAATCAAGACTCCGCGCGGACCATCAGAAGTCTTAATCTCTTGTTGTTTTCGGCCACGTAAACCACAATTTATATCTAGAGCCGAGGCTGATATTAGTATCCGGTGGATACGATAGGATTCTTCTTATCTTCTGTAGACGGAAATCAAATGTGAATTAATCGTGAACAGGTGCGTGTTACAGTCAAGGTTCTCAGAGCGTGGCCACACATCTAATAACGGCAGGTGTAGACAAGAATACAACTCCGCAGGAAAGGTCATTCAAAAATCAAGTATGTGTTTAACAGTAACAGCGTGTTTGCACAGGTAGAGCACACATGCACCACGAACTTGCCTCACACCGCTGGATAGACGCACAATGCGTCTCCGTAAAATTATTGTGCAGACTTTTGAATATAACCAATATAACAACCTTAATATCGTGGTGTTGCATGAACTAGCAAGTAATATGTTGCGATCTTGCTGTCAATTCTGAACCACTACAAGTGACAAGAAAATGAGTCATAAAAACTTTTAAGAATGATCTGAACATTGAGAACATTATACCTTTCCGACTGCCGTCTGTGAATCTGGACATGGTGGATACTTGCGTATACCTACTCGTCAAACTCGGCCTCCTTCGTCGTCGTGCATGACTATCCGTAACCTCATCATCAATAGCTATAGTCCTGATATAGTAAAAACAGAAGAGGTTCTCTTTCAGGAATTTGAGTTTTGCAAAAGTTCTACAGATCAAACCACACAGAGCAGCGGATAGAACGGACTCGGATTTATCAGTGATAGCAATGAAAGGTCACTGTGCTCGGTACTAGGAACTCCCAAACTAGACAGCACATCTCTACTATATTAAGCACACAAATGTAGTCTCTAGTCAGGATCATAGCTCTATATCACACTTCGATGAATATGGATGTATAAATATTAGACCTATCACGTCACGTCGGTAAACAAAGAACCGCAAACGCATTCCTGATAATGGGGCGTTCACATCTGCAATTTCGAGTGGTATACAGATTGGACTGCAAAGCACGACACACAGAAATCCTGACAAGTAGCACCAGAGAGCTACCGGTAGTCTCAGGCACCCCATACCACCGCTATAAACAACAGATCATATTTCTACAGGGATCAATAAACCTTTTAAATCTAGTGATGTTCATCAATTTAGTTCAAAGAGTACGTAGACACAACCAGAGGACAGCATATCGAACAAGTACAGACATGGCAGTGCATATATACAACAAGGGAGCAACATACACTTCAGCGCCATCACTGATGGTAAGCTCGGGAACTACAGGCTTCCGACCCAGTACTATGTGAAACTCTCGACTCGGACAATTACAATCGCGGCGGAACCTGTGTATTCAAGGACGAGGGTGAAAGGAAAGGTCTATCGTCGATTGATGTCCTTACAGTTACCGCGTTTCACTATACACAGCAACTAGCTAGCTATGTTTAACGCGACGTATTGATCAAACAGTTGATTTTTCATGAACGTTTTAATATTTCCTAAACTTTCGCTGCCAAGCATACTCGAGGCGATTTTGGGCCTATAATACTCTTCGTTGGAGTATAGGCTTCTAGCACGACAGATATATGGAGATTCAAAAACCAGAATTACGCCCGATACCACAAATTCATACGAGAAGCTGTTTGCATACAGAAATCAGACAGTACGCGTTTGCTCATTGGGGTTTCTCGTGTGCATGCACTACCCGATCATATTATAAACCGAGTACAACACACCGCCAATTGCAGCATCAAGAATTACACACAATGACTTACGCTGCACTGACAGACTTAAATTGATGATGAATTTCCAAATCGAGCCCGGGGTTGAGCACGCTATACGTGGTTAACATTTCTTCCACTTCCTTGACTAATCTTTCCTCAGCCGCTCCTCGTACATCTGTTCGGTCCGCTTTATACAGCGCTCTGTGATAGTCCGATTCGTACACTGACCCCTGTTTGTTGTATAAAAATGGATAGCACTCATATAAGTATGACGGCCAGCCGTAGAACAATCTACACGAGTTGGAAGCGACTTCACTGCAAAACTAGTAATCTCAGACCAGAGTGCCACGAAATTGCGAATGCGATATTACACTGAAATCAGATTATCTATAACCTAACGTGTTCTAGAGCACTCGCAAATAGCAAAAAAAAGAAAAAAAGAAGAACCCCCCAATTGAATTTGCTATATATCAACGTAGAAAAATGCTACATGATCATCACACCACAGATATGTAAACAACACCACTCACTGAGTCTGAATGATCAAACACATCAGGCCGTACCTCATTCTTGTTTTTACCAAATCTTTTCGTTTTGGAGCTCTCTTTAGGTATATCCGTGTCAACTGCAAGCTGATTGAGCCCTTCCTCCGCCACAATGGCGGTGGAGATACTGTCGACGTTTCGAATTAACGACAAGAACATTTCCTCGTCTATGAGCTGAGAAGAGAGCAGGGAACAAAGTAGTGGACTATGAAGGCATATTCAATACTCAGCGAAATAGATATATCTGATCAGCAAGCAGCGATCGCACACTTATGTACAATTGCGCGTGTTGCACGATACCCCTAGCAGCGCTTACTAAATCAGATAGACACAATATCAGGCTAGGCTGGCTGGAAATACGATCAACTTTACCATGCACTGATTTCGACCTGTGATACATATATACATATATATATATATATATATATATATATATATATACTA